TATATCTTTTTAAAAAGTTATCAATTGATATTCAATCCTGATTTTGTAGTGGCATATATACTTCAAATAATAATATTATTATATTATATAAATATTGAATATTTTTTCAAGTAATTTAATTAATTGTGAGACTTGATTATTGGGCTGGCCTTTTTAAAAAGATGGGTATTAATCATTTCGGCCTTGTTTATTGGGCTGGCCTTTTTAAAAAGATGGGTATTAAATAAACTCATTTAAGTTATAGAATAATAAAAACTGATTTCGAATAATTTGGTCTAATGCTCCAATAAATTATTTAATAGAATATAAGTGTATTCAAAATCTTCTTCCGGAGTGAGATTGTGAAATTGTAAATTGTAACAGTGGAGAAGATGAAAAATATATATATATATATGTGAAGACTAAGGAATAAGAAAAAAAAAAAAAAAAGAGAAAATAAAATTAACAGGAATCTTAGAAAAATATAGAAAGTTCCATCAATTTTCACTTAAATATATATTTAATATTTAATTTTAATGTGATGTAATGAGGACGAGAGAGAGAGAGAAAGAAAGAAGAAGAAGATAATACAAGAATAGAAATATTTTGCGCACACTATTAAATTTTATATTTGTTGAGGTTTAATGATATAAGAAAATAAAATATTTAGGTAAGTTATAATGTATAAAGAAAAAAAATTTTGGGGGCCCTCAGAAAAAAGATAAAGAATATAAATTTTTTAAGACAATTATCAAATTTCTCTATACGTTGAAGTTTAATTATTAAAAGAAATATTATAATTGTTTTAGGAAAATTATAATATATAAAGAAATAAAAAAGTATGGGGCCTTCTTATTGGCTGAGGCTTTAGGCAACCGCCTAACTCACCTAAGGCTCGAGCCGGCCCTGGATGTGGGTGAATGAATATGGCTGCTTCTTCTTCTTCTTGCGTTTGTGAAGCACCAGAGAAGAAACCGAGGCTTAATGACCCTGCTAGCGACGAAATCAGAGATCAGAGAAGAAGATGAAATTTTATGCTATGAGGATGAGGAAATTGAATACCTTGAACATGAAATGACCAACAAAGAGTGGGACTTATACCGCCAGTCTGTCAAGGCCAGCGGTGTACGTTTTGTGTTCCTTTTCTAATGCAACGTCATATATATATATATATATTACTAATTGAATCCACCATTGTAGGGGTTTGATGTTAAATCCTTTCCCAAAATACATGCCTTTACTCTATATATTTATTTTTTCTTACTCCTTTCTTACCTTTCACTGGTCTAGAAAATGACAGATGGCATAAAAATTGATTCATGTGTTTATATATAGAATAAATTGACTATTAAAGCTAACATTATTAACTATAGTTAAGTCTGATAAGGTAATAAAGTGTAATTGACTAATTAAGTTTTATTGGCTCTGGAGTTATTACACGGATGCCACTCAGGCTCAGTCCCAACAAAGTGTGTACTCAAAATTAACCTATTCAAGGCATTTGATTTATTGTTGATGTTCTTGAACTGTTTGGGGTTCCTAGGATGCTAGTTCACTGGATTAAGGAATGTATCTCCACACCATCATTTTCCATATCTATTAATAAAAAACTACATGGGTTTTTCAAGGGCAATGGCGAACACAGAGGGGGGCTTAGGTGGGCTTGAGCTCCCCCCAAAAAAAAAATTTTTTTTTTAGTATAGGTATGTTCCGCCAATGTTTAAAAAAAAAAAATTTAATAGTACTATTAGTGTGATGACCAAGTCTTATTTTTATTTTCTTCCTTTTTTATTTTATTTTATTGCATTTTGTTTTGTTGTGGGGCTTAGGTTGACTAGTGGGTAAGATATGTGTGGATGAGAATGTGAGTGATATGTATATGTGTGTTTGTATAGAGAGAGAAAGTGGAATAAAAGCCCAAAAATCCTCTCTCTCCTCCTTCGCCGACACACTTTCTTCTCTCTCCCATTCTTTTATTTTTCATTTTACTTCAACCATTTCTCTACCATTTCACCTCCAACCTTTGAGATTTTGAGCTTGCATAGAAGGAAAATTGATAGGGACTACGAGAGGAACAAAACCCCTCAATCAATTTTGGATTTGGAGCACATTTTTCTTTTGGAGTAGCTAGGGTTTGCTCCTAACTTGAGGTAGGGGTGTATTGTGCTTATTATCTAGGAGTTCTTGAAATTTTATGACTATTGTGTGAGTTATGCATATACTTGTGTGTGGGGGTTTAATCAGAGAGCTTATATAATAATTTAATTGCATGTCCATAATGTTTTATTAAATTTTTATATCAATTTTCATGTGTAATATGTTATTTGTTCCATTGTTGATATTATGAATGTTAATTAAAATCCTAGATCTTAATGTGTACAATTTCTTGTAATTAAAGTGCCTTATATTTTGTGTTTAGTCATGGAAATATCATGTATTTGTTATTTTGTAAAGGTTAATTTTGAAGATGTATATTTCTATGATAATGTTAAACTTTTACACACTTGAAATTTGATATAATGATAGCATGAATTTAAATGACTTTAAAATACCCAATTTGTTGACATTGCATCAAAGAGTATGCCATTATAGTGATTTGGACCATATGACATGGATTGTGTGATTAGTATAATTTATGTGCGCATGTGAAGTGCAATTTGGGCATATGGATTATTTTGTGGACTTGTTTGTTGATTTTGGGAGATACTCGGGGATTGTTACTTTGAGAATGCGAGGGTTCGACGCTCGCGGGTGAAACATGAGTTTTCCCACTTTATATTGGCCAATCGGTTAGTTTCTGGCGAACTAGTAATCCGAAAACGACTATTTTTATTTTGGCACATAGCATGGCTATGTGACCGGGAGTGTGGGTGTGTTTCGAGTTATTCCGTTAATTGATTTCGACTTTTATTTTCAAATTGGCATTTATGTGTTATTGCAACTTGTGAATTTATGTATATTACACTATATTATTTATATTTGTCTTGATGAATGAATTAATATTATTTATACTAGATTAGGATGATCCTATTTAGGTTCCCCTTGAGACTAGACGTTAGGGAGTATGTTCCTTATATTGTATGACCATGCAATGTTTGTAGAATTTTGAGAAACCTAGTTTATATTCATGAGACATTCCTACGGAGCAACTCGTTGCTCACCCTGTTGATTCTTATATTTTTTAGGACATGGCATTGCCCAAGAGAAGGTTCCTTATCTCTAGCTTGATTGGGATCTTGACAAAATTTTTGAGTTACTTGTGATAATTGTGACATCCATTCTGTAGCTTACTTTTGGACTTGTATTTTGACACATAGTGTATTTTGGATATTATATTTGATGACATGTTTGTAATATTCTTTTGGAGGAGGGAAATGACGTAGGAACTCACCCATCTATCTTTTGGAGTTCTTATGGAATTTTTTCTCTTATCTTTACTCATGTAATCCCTTAACATTATTTCTCACCTTATGAATTGTAATGAGGCCACGGTGGCCATGACTTATATAGTGGGATTGAACAATTATTATTTAAGTTGTGTACATGTGGATTCATTTGGATAGTCTAATATAAATGATTAATTAATCATGCTATTATTTATTTTATGAAACTATTATTATTATTATTATTTATGTGGTGGATGACACCGGTTTTCTCCAATTAATTATTTATTTATTCAAGTGAATATAATTAACTAATTATTTATTTCATTATCTATTTTTATTATTATTATTTTTCTTCACGACCCGAGTTGTGGAATTTGAGGCGTGACAACGTGGTATCAGAGAGTCCGGGTTCGAAAACCTAAGGACGACGGGTTGGGTTTATTTCGTGTTCTATGTTTATATGATAATTATTTGTTACGTGCTTATATGCTTAATTGTTTAAGACATTTTGTTTTATGACTTAACATGATTTACATGTTTGTTCGCATTATCATACATTGCGGTTCATGCTTCCATTGAGTGAGTTGCATAGACGTGAGACTGGAGAGACTTCGAGTCCAAACCTTGGGGAGTATGTGGATGAGACACAACTTCTTAGGGATATGGTTCACCCCAGGAGGGATAGGAGCAGAGGCGTGGGTGTTAACCCACCACCTACTTCTTTTGATGGCACACGAGTGATGATGGAGATGACACGTGGATTCACAGTGGCCATGGAAGAGATGGTTCGGAGAGTTACCTCAGGATTGAGGCCTCCAGAGCCGGTAGTGGCTAACCCAGCTATGGACTACCTTGTGACGTTTCAGAGGCTCAAGCTTGAGCCATTTGCAGGGGGATTTGATTCACTAGTGGTAGAGTTTTGGCTTGACCAGGCGGTCAAGAAACTTGACGGTATAGCGGTGCCCACAGATCGGTTGAGGATCTCTCTAGCATCCTTCTCATTCACAGGTGATGTCGAGGTACGGTGGAGATCTATCACCAACACTCATGATATTAAGACGATGACTTGGGAAGTCTTCCAGGGGCTCTTTTATGAAAAGTATTTCCCAAGGACCGCAATGAGGGAAATGAGAAAGAAGTTCGATAGCCTCTACCAAGGGAATATGAGTGTCATGGAATATGAGAACAAGTTTACGTCTCTCTTTCGCTATGCATCAGACTTGATACGGACCGATGAGGAAAAGGCCTTGAAGTTTCAGGATGGCCTACATCTTGACATTAGGCCCCGTGTTTCAGTCTTGGATTTGAGGGTCTATTATGAAGTGGTGAGATGGGCATTGCTTGTGGAGGCAGAGGACAGGGACTCACAGTGGATTAGGGAGTCTAAGAAGCATTTCAGGGGTGAGGCTTCATCTTTAGGGAGTCAATCGAAGAAGTTTAGAGGATGAGGGGGCAGTTCATACTCACAGGGGTCTCTACAGCAGTCACGTCCTGCACCCACAGTTCCCTTATCTTTGGGATCCACACGTGAGGTCGTCTGCCACCATTGTCATCAGTCAGGACACATCAGGCCACGTTGCCCATAGCTTCAGACACCTACCACACAGTCTTTTACTGCTTCGACCGAACTTCTGAATGCTTGCTTCAGTTGTGGTCAGAAGAGACATTTCAAGAGGGAGTGCCCACAGAGGGGGAGCGGATCACGTGGTAGTACGGGATCACAGTACAGGCAGTCACAGTCATCCGTTGTCCGGTCTGGATCCAGAGTTCCTCGGACACCACAGCCTGCAGCTTCAGTTCAGGGCCCACGACCGGCTGGGGGCTCTACATCTAGTATGTCTTCACAGCAGTCAGGGTATCAGGGTGGTGGATAGTAGGGTTCAGGGGTGCAGGGCAGAGCTTTTGCTCTTCCTCAAGCGGGTACTTCAGTGGGACCTTTAGTTGTTCGAAGTATATTTCCTATGCTCAGTTCTTGGGCTAGAGTTTTAATTGACTCAGGTGCATCACATTCATTCATTTCATCATCATTTGCACATTCATTGGGGTTGGAGATCACATCCTTGGATGGGGTTCTTTGTGTTGACACACCGGTTAGGGGACCAGTTACGTTGGATAGGATTTGTCGGGGTTGTGCTATTGAAATTGCCGGGCGGACATTGTGGTTCGACTTCATTCCTCTTGAGATGACGGGTTTTGATGTCATTCTTGGGATGGATTGGTTGTCCTTTTTTCGAGCCACCATTGATTGCTTCCGAGGGAGGGTGACCATATGTACTCCCAATGGAGATTGTTTTTACTTTGTGGGAAATCGGAGTAATTCACACATTTTAACCGTTTATGGTATTGGTGATTGGGGTCGTCACAGGTTTTACTTGGCCAGCCTTTTAGCCGAGGAAGAATGGAGTCTGGGTGATAGTTTTCCAACATTGGTTGGTGAGTTCGTTGATGTCTTTCCGGAGGAGTTGACAGAGTTGCCTCCCATACGGGATGTTGTGTTCGCGATTGACGTCATACTCGGTACTGCGCCCATCTCTATGGCGCTGTATCACATGGCACCGGCAGAGTTGAATAAGTTGAAGAGCCAGTTGGATGATTTGAAAGTAAAAGGCTTCATTCACCCTAGTGCTTCACCGTGGGGAGCACCGGTTCTTTTTGTGAAGAAGAATGATGGGTCTTTAAGACTTTGCATCGACTATCGCAAGTTGAACCATGCTACGATCAAGAACAAGTATCTTTCGCCGAGGATAGATGACTTGTTTGATCAATTAAAGGGAGCTAAGTGTTTTTCGAAGATAGACTTGAGGTCGGGCTACTATCAGTTAAGAGTCAGGGATGAGGATATCCCTAAGACCGTTTTTCGCACACGGTATGGCCATTACGAGTTCCTTGTGATGCCATTTGGTTTAACCAATGCTCTAGCAACTTTTATGAACTTGATGAACCGTGTTTAGTGCCTATCTTGATGAGTTTGTGGTGGTATTTGTTGATGACATACTCGTGTACTTATCTTTGGAAGAGGAGCATGAGTCTCACTTGAGAACAGTGTTGCAGACCCTTAGGGATAACCGGTTGTATGCTAAGTACGAGAAGTGTGAGTTTTGGCTACCGGAAGTAAAGTTCCTTGGACATGTTGTCTCAGTAGGAGGAGTTTCAGTTGATCCTTCGAAAATTGAAGCAGTGATGGATTGGGAGCGTCCGAAGAGTGTATTTAAGATTCGGAGTTTCCTTGGCCTATCTAGCTATTATCGAAGATTTGTTCAGGATTTCTCTCATTTAGCGGCACCTGTGACTTGACTTACTCTCAAGGGAATCAAGTTTGTATGGAATGAGGCTTGTGAACTAGCCTTTCGGGAGTTGAAGACTAGATTAACTACTGCTCCAGTTTTGGTGATTCCTGAACGTGGTTTGGGTTATGTGATCTATTGTGACGCTTCACGGGATGGTTTGGGTTGCGTCTTGATACAGACAGAACGGGTGGTTGCTTATGGGTCTAGACAGTTGAAAACTCATGAGCAGAACTATCTGAGTTATGATTTGGAGTTGGCGGTAGTGATTTTCGCATTGAAAGGATGGAGACATTACTTGTACGAGGAGAAGTTTGAGGTTTTCTCCGACCATAAGAGTCTCAAGTATCTTTTCTCACAAAAGGACATTAACATGAGGCAACAACGATGGGTGGAGTATATGGAGGACTATAATTTTGATTTGCAGTATCACCCAGGAAAGGCTAACGTTGTGGCAGATGCCTTGAGTAGGAAGTCATATGGAAACTTGGCTAGCATTGCCATTCGGGAATGGAAAATGATGGAGGATTTTGCAGAGATGGGTCTGTATTTCAGTGATGATGATGCACCAGCTACTTTGTTTAGTCTTGTAGCTCAACCAACCCTTGCTAGCGGGGTAATTGAGGCACAAAAGCAGGATAACGAGATAGAGTCCATTCGCACACGGATTTCAGGTGGCGAGTCTGTGGATGGTTGGACATTACATTCAGATGGAGGTCTTAGGTTCAAGGGAAAGATGTATGTCCCTTTGCCTTGTCGTGATAGTGTCCTTCAGGATTTTCACCATTCTCGACTTGCAGTTTATCCAGGTGGTACCAAGATGTATCACAATTTAAGACGTCAGTTTTGGTGGAAGGGTATGAAACGGGATGTTGCACAGTTTGTGGCCAAGTGCCTTACTTGTCAACAAGTGAAGGTCGAGCATCAGAGGCCAGCGGGTTTGTTGCAACTATTGCCAGTAGCGAAGTGGAAATGGGAGCACATTACCATAGATTTTGTGACGGGACCTCCGAGGTTAAAGAAAGGGAATGAAGCCATTTGGGTCATAGTCGACAGGTTGACAAAGACAGCTCACTTTTTGCCTATACAAGTATCTGATGATGCAGAGAAGCTCAGTAAGCAGTATGTGGGGCAGATTGTCGGGCTCTATGGGGTTCCTGTGTCTATTATTTCATACAGGGATCCACAGTTCACTTCACATTTTTGGCAGGGTTTTCAGGAGGCTCTTGACACAGGGCTTCATTTTAGCACGACATTCCATCCTCAGACTGATGGTTAGTCAGAACATACCATTCAGACATTAAAGGATATGCTACGAGCTTGCATCTTAGATTTTGGAAGCAGTTAGGAAAATCACTTGCCTTTGGTGAAGTTTGCCTACAACAACAGTTATCAGGCCAGCATTAAGATGACACCTTTCGAGGCATTATATGGCAGACCTTATAGATCTCCAGTTTGTTGGGCCGAGGTGGGAGAGACAACTACCCTGGGTCCCGACATTGTTATTGAGACCACGGAGAAAATTAAGTTGATTCGACAACGGTTGGTCAAGGCTCAAAGTAGGCAGAAAAGCTATGCTGACAAGAGGATGAGACCTTTGTCCTTTGAGATGGGAGACCATATTTTTCTTAAGATCGTTCCACGCAAGGGATTAATGCATTTTGGGCGAAGTGGGAAGTTGTTTCCTAGGTTCATTGGGCCATTCGAGATCTTGGATTGCATTGGTGAGGTTGTGTATCGCTTGGCGTTACCCCCACATTTAGAGAAGGTTCACAATGTATTCCATGTTTTTATATTAAGGAAGTATGAGCCAGATCCCTCACACATTTTGAGATGGGTCGACATTGAGGTTGATGAGAATGCAACTTACGAAGAGGGCCAGTGTAGATTCTCGACACTAGGGAGCAAGTGTTGAGAAATAAAACCATTCCATTGGTCAAGGTTTTATGGAGGCATCACGGAGTTGAGGAGGCTACCTGGGAACGGGAGGAGGAGGTTCGCTCCAAGTACCCGGATTTGTTCGCGACTTGAGGTATGACCTGATTTCGGGGACGAAATCCCTTTAAGTTGGGGAGGTTGTGATGACCAAGTCTTATTTTTATTTTCTTCCTTTTTATTTTATTTTATTTTATTGCATTTTGTTTTGTTGTGGGGCCTAGGTTGACTAATGGGTAAGATATGTGTGGATGGGAATGTATGTGATATGTACATGTGTGTTTGTATAGAGAGAGAAAGTGGAATAAAAGCCTAAAAATCCTCTCACTCTCCTACTTCACCGACACACTTTCTTCTCTCTCCCATTCTTTTATTTTTCATTTTACTTCAACAATTTCTCCACCATTGCACCTCCAACCTTTGAAAATTTGAGCTTGTATAGAAAGAAAATTGACAGGGACTACGAGAGGAACAAAACCCCTTAATTAATTTTGGATTTGGAGCACATTTTTCTTTTGGAGTAGCTAGGGTTTGCTCCTAGCTTGAGGTAGGGGTGTATTGTGCTTATAACCTAGGAGTTCTTGGAATTTTATGACCATTGTGTGAGTTATGCATATACTTGTATGTGTGGGTTTAATTAGAGAGCTTATATAATAATTTAATTGCATGTCCATAATGTTTTATTAAATTTTTATATCAATTTTCATGTGTAATATGTTATTTGTTCCATTGTTGATATTATGGATGTTAATTAAATTCCTAGATCTTAATGTGTACAATTTCTTGTAATTAAAGTGCCTTATATTTTGTGTTTATTCATGGAAATATCATGTATTTATTATTTTGTAAAGGTTAATTTTGAAGATGTATATTTCTATGATAATGTTAAACTTTTACAAACTTGAAATTTGATATAATGATAACATGAATTTAAATGACTTTAAAATACCCAATTTGTTGACATTGCATGAAAGAGTATGCCATTATAGTGATTTGGACTATAGGACATGGATTGTGTGATTAGTATAATTTATGTGCGCATGTGAAGTGCAATTTGGGCATATCATGGTATATGGATTATTTTGTGGATTTGTTTGTTGATTTTGGGAGATACTCGGAGATTGTTACTTTGAGAATGCGAGGGCTCGGTGCTCGCAGGTGAAACATGAGTTTCCCCACTTTATATTGGCCAATCAGTTAGTTTCCGGCGGACTAGTAATCCAAAAACGATAATTTTTATTTAGGCACATAGCATGGCTATGTGACCGGGAGTGTGGGTGTGTTTCCAGTTATTCCGTTAATTGATTTCGACTTTTATTTTCAAGTTGGCATTTATGTGTTATTGCAACTTGTGAATTTATGTACATTACACTATATTATTTATGTTTGTCTTGATGAATGAATTCATATTATTTATGCTAGATTAGGATGATCCTATTTAAGTTCCCCTTGAGACTAGACGTTAGGGAGCATGTTCCTTGTATTGTATGACCATGTAATGTTTGTAGAATTTTGAGAAACCTAGTTTATATTCATGAGACATTCCTACGGAGCAATTCGTTACTCACCCCGTTGATTCTTATATTTTTCAGGAAAGGGCATTGCCTAAGAGGAGGTTCCTCATCCCTAACTTGATTGGGATCTTGACAACATTTTTGAGTTACTTGTGATAATTGTGATATCCATTCTGTAGTTTACTTTTGGACTTGTATTTTGACACATAGTGTATTTTGGATATTATATTTGATGACATGTTTGTAATATTCTTTTGGAGAAGGGAAATGACATTGGAACTCACCCATCTATCTTTTGGAGTTCTTATGGAATTTCCTCTCTTATCTTTACTCATGTAATCCCTTAACATTATTCTCACCTTATGGATTGTAATGAGGCCATAGTAGCCATGACTTATATAGTGGGATTGAACAATTATTGTTTAAGTTGTGTATATGTGAGTTCATTTGGATAGTCTAATATAAATGATTAATTAATCATGCTGTTATTTATTTTATGAAACTATTATTATTATTATTATTATTTATGTGGTGAATTACACCGGTTTTCTCCAATTAATTATTTATTTACTCAAGTGAATATAATTAATTAATTATTTATTTAAGTATCTATTTTTATTATTATTATTTTTCTTCGTAACCCGAGTCGTGGAATTCGGGGCGTGACAACTAGCCCCCTTTTTAACCCATCCAAATAAGTTCAATATCTAAGCCACAATTTTAAAACAAAGGCCCAACCAAATAAGCCCAAGCCAAACAAGCCCTATACATATCAAAGCAAGAAAACTCCTAAATTCCTAATCTTCGAACAAATCAGAGAGCTCACTCTTTCTCTCCCTCTAAAGTCTAAACCTAGTTCCTCTAAAATTTTCTAACTCTTTAATCTTTCGATCCCCAATTTCCCATTCTTCATCGCCTAAGATTCACTCATCCTGTAAAGTTTGGCATTTCATGACTTTCACCTCAGAAGACACTCCATTACAGGTATTTTTTTTTTTTTCCTAATTGATTCTCACACACACATGATACATATCTCTTTTGAGACTAAACCCCTCTTTTTGAGAAATCCAATAAGGTTCTTTTGCAATTGCATGTCTTTGATTAAATCTCAATTGAATTTTTAATTTTTATTACTCTTTGGAATTTATTCATTGAAACAGCAGATGGGTTCGTTGATACTGCTGAATTTTTTGTTCTTTGTTCTGACAATTTGTTGAATAAAGTCTTCGATTTGAGATTCTTTATATAATATATATATAGGCAGAGCCACAGAGGTTAATGGTTATGAACTATGGTTTTGGTACTGTGATAGACTGATAGTTGACTCAATTTGGTCTTTAGTTATAAACCCTTTATATATTTAATATTTTGTGTATTTGACAATTTTGTTGAATAAAATCATTGATTTGAGTTGTTTATGACTTTATCACATGTATATATAGGCAGAGGTACACTGAATTACTGATATAGACATATAGTGATATACATATTTTGAGTAATTTAGTTTCTTTCTCTCTCTTCACTTCTGTTCTGTCCTAACCCTTCTCTTGAAAAAACCACACAGATAGTCTAGAGGAATTGAGAAAAGCCGAGTCTCGTCGAAGTTTCAGCTCGCTCAAATTTCAGGCACCACAAAGGTGAGCTTTACTGCTTTAGATTCAACTATATACATTTTCATATGTGTATATATATATAATTATATTTGTGTAGAGATAAATGTTTGAAAGCATATAAATGATCAGCTTATAATTTTTGTATTTGGTGAATATAGGTAACTTTTACCATTGATTAGTAGATAATAGAATTTGGGTCACTTCAATGTTGATATTTCTAATTTATTACCTGTATTTGTTTATTACAATTCATTATTCACTCCTCATGGTTGTTAAATTTGATTTAGGTATTTTTAATTTAACTCATTCTTTAATTTTATTAGGTTAAAAATAATAGGCTCAACATCAACCGCCAAACAAGAAAGTAAAAAGTATGTCTATTCTCTCATTCTATCAAAAGTAAGGCCAAATGAGCGACGATTATCAATCGAAAAAGGATATACCTAGTGCATCTAACATTGACAATGATCTTAATTCATAACCTCCTGCCCTACCTCAAGTTGTTGAACCCAAGCAACTCCACTCCACTTATATTGAAAGAGATCCCGGGTTACATATTCAAATACATGAATACCCGGTGAATCAAAGGGATGAGGTTAGACGAACTTATATCAATTTGGGGCCTTATCAACCTAAACTTTCCAATTATCCTAACTCTTGGGATGGAAGGCAGAATCGGTGATTTAAGTATGAATGGTTCCAACAATTTCCTTGGCTAGAATATTCTCCTTTAAAAGATAAAGCATATTGTTTTCCATACTTTCTTTTTGAAGAGAGAAATATAACGGGGTGCCATTCTTCACTTATTGATGATGGATATAAGAATTGGAAGAAAGTTGGTGATGGAGATAATTGTGTATTCTTGAAACACACGGGACTTTAATCTTCACCATATAGAATATGTGCCATGCTTTATAAAAATTTAAATAAATCGGCACAACATATTAATAAAGTGTTGAATGCCCAATCAAGAGAAGATGTTTTGAATAATCGAATGCGGCTTAAGGCAACTATTGAAACCGTTCGCTTCCTAGCATTGCAAGGAATTGGTTTTAAGAGGCCATGATGAAAGTTCAAGTTCATTAAATAGAGGGAATTTTATTGAAGCGTTGAGGTATAAAGCAAAAGGAAATGATGAAATCTCAAGTTTTATCTTGGACAATGCTCCACAAAAAGCCCAATACATTGCTCCATCGATTCAAAAGGAGATTCTTCATATTCTTGCAAATAGAGTGAGAAAAATGATTTGTGATGAAGTTGCGGGAGGCAAATATTGTGTTCTTGTTGATGAAGCACAAGATGAGTCTAAAACGGAGCAAATGGCTCTTGTTTTAAGATATGTCAAGCATGATGGTGTGCTAATGGAACGCTTTTTTGACATTGTGGGAGTTAAAAACACATTAGCAGTGACGTTTAAGGATGCAATATCTGGTATTCTTGCTCGGTTCGATCTTTCAATTCAAAATTTGAGAGGTCAAGGGTACGATGGTGCTAGTAATATGCGTGGCGAATGGAATGGTCTATAAGCATTATTTCTTAAAGATTGTCCACTTACTTATTATGTCCATTGACTTGACTTGTATTATCAATCTTGTTACTTCCTCTCCCAAGCGTGTTGGTGAATTAAAATCTTCTCAAAGGGATGAGATTGCACGTATGTTGAGCACAGGTGAACGTCAATCTAGTAAAGGGGCTAATCAGATTGGCACCTTGCATCGAGCTGGAGCTACTCGTTGGAGTTCACATTATGATTTTGTTAGGAACTTGATTGATATGTATACTACATCCGGCACAGTTGTTGAAAGTCTTAGAAAGAGTGGGGAAATCAACAGATATGTGGGCAAGCTTTAGGT